CGCTCAGCGTGGGGCGGGGACCTCGGGACACTCTCCGGAGGGGACGGGGAGGACCCGGGGCTGAGGGGAGGGTGGGGGGCTGGCGTGGGGCGGAGACCTCGGGGACACTCTCTGGAAGGGGACGGGGAGGACCTGGGGGCTGGAGGGAGCGGGTGGCGTCGGGCGTGGGGCCGGACCACTCGGACACTCTCGGAGGCGACGGGAGAGGCCTGGGCTGAGGGAAGGGTGGGGCTGGGCGTGGGCGGCGCGGGGACCTCGGGGACACTCTCTCATCCGAGGGGAAGGGGAGGACTGGGCCTGAGGGAACGGCCACCGTCGCCAGGGCCGGCCGGACCTCCAGACATTCTCCGGAGGGGACCCGGGAGCGACCTGGGGGCTGCAAGGGAGGATCCCCCCGGCCACTGCCTGGTGTCACTCCAGGGCTCCAGGAATCCTTGGCCGTTTCTGCCCTGTGCAGCCCTGGCAGCTGCAAGGCTGTGCTGGGCACCCCTCCTGCCGGGCTCCCACCCCTGTGCCCCTCCTCACCTGCCCCTCCTCACCTTCCTCAGGGTCATGTGTACCACCCTCCAGAACGCCAGCCGCTAGCCGCTAGCCGTAGGGCTGGGCCTGCCCTCAGGTGAGAGAAGCCCAGGTGTGGGGGCTCCCAGGTCCTGTGTGGTGCACACTGCAGGTGCCGGCTGACCCTGGTGTCAGCCTCAGAGCTTCAGAGCCTGTCCTGGAAGTGTCACCAAGCTTCTGCAAGGGGACTGTGGGGACTTCCAGGAGGACTGGCACCAGCCTTCCAACGTGGGAGGAAGGCCAGTCATGATGGGAGCGTCTACTCAGCCCTCAGGCCATGCAGGGGGTCATATCCCTGCCCTTCTCTCCTGTCTTTCCCATGATCCCCCAGAGTCAAATGCTGGAGCCACCCCCTCCTCCTCGCCTGGCGCCCTTATCTTGCCCTGCTCTGGGTCCCTTGGGCAGAGCTTGGGGACCTCAGGCCCCTTCCCTGCTCCTGGGGAAAGGCACACAGTGGCCTGCAGGAACCTATGAGGGGCTCCTGTGCAGGCAGCTGCTGCTCCTGAGCAGGGGTCTTCTGGGAGGGAGGACCCGTGCGGCCTGGGACGCTTCCGCAGACACCGGACTGGGGTAACCCCTGCTCTGGGCACATGGCAGGTTCCCCTTTCGGGAAGTCCTGCCCTCAATCCCCTCCCGGCCACCCAGGGCCTGCACAGGGACCGGCCACTCTGAGACCCTCTGACAGAACCACTGGTCCCAGCCGTCTGCAAGCTCTCAGCAGGCCGGGGTGGGCGTGGAGGTGGAAGTTTTCAAGTTGAGGCTGAGGGAAAGACTAACTTTTTCTGAGCCATCTGCTGCGGTGACAGGGAGTTTAGCTTTATCGGAAAATAATTTCTGGTTGGGACTGACGCTTGCACTGCAGAAACAGGTTTTTTACAAGCCAAAAACTCGTGTTTACAAAAGAACCTGCCAGCCTTTTGGGGAAGGCTCCCCTCGGGTGAAGCGGAAAGTGCTCAGGTGGGGGGGGCAGAGCCCCGCGCTGGCACACTGGCGTCACCACGCTCTGTGGCCTCCTCACCATCCTTGCTGCATTTGCATGCGACCAGCCAGGATGCTCAGAGAGCTGGTCCCAGAAACGAGGTGAGGCCCGCTGCCCGCACGTCAGGGGGCCATCCCTCCCCAACCTGCCACTGCCTAAGAGCCAGTGTCCCAGTGGCAGCGTCCTCACACCACCGCCCCCGCCACCCACCCCGGGGCAGGGCTGTCTGCATCCAGCGCTGACCCCCCAGGGACTCAGCGGGAGCTCCCAGCCAGCCAGCCGCCAAGGCAGTGCGGCCAGCCACCAGGCTGGGCAAAACCCGTTGGCCAGACTGGGGTTGTCCGAGCCCCACTGGATTCCCCACACCCTCTTTTGATTTCCCGCGGTTGGTTCTGCCGTCAGCCGCCGCTGCAAATCGGCTTGAGACAGTGGAGGACCTGGGGCGGTAGCCGTGACCAGCCCAGAGGGCAGCACAGCCTCCCAACTTCCAAAGGAACCGGCAGCGCTGGGCGCGCCTGGGCGCGTGCTCGCGGCACTTGGCTGCCTCCGCCGGCACCATGTGGCAAACCGGCACGGCACCCGTGCAGGGTGCCCTGGCAGTGCCCGCTCGCCGGTGAGGACGGCCAAGAGGCCTGCTGACGCGGCTGGGCAGCGGGCTGTGCTCTGCCACACCTGCCGGCCCGGGGGGGCCAAGCGGGCGAGCCTGCCGGGAGCCAGGCACAGCGGCATTTACGGGGTGCGGGAGTGCCAGGCAGACAGGCTGTATTGAGACAGTTGCCTGGGAAACATCGTGGGATCCACGGGCAACGGAGCGGGCATTGGGGCCCACGTGCAGGGTGCGAGAGTGGGGTCATGGCATGGTGTCCTCGGGCACCCACAGCCTCCTCACAACCCCAGGGGGGGTCACGGCCAGGACCCCCTGGTGGCCAGCAGGTCAAGGCCAGGGGTGGGGCACAGGCTCCAGTCCCTAACCCTGGGAGCCTGAGAGCCACCGGCAGTCTGGGAGGGGTCTGGCCTGGGAGAGACCACAGCCCTATTCATTTTTTTTTTTTTTTTTTTTTGAGACAGAGTCTCACTTTGTTGCCCAGGCTAGAGTGAGTGCCGTGGCGTCAGCCTAGCTCACAGCAACCTCAACCTCCGGGGCTCAGCGATCCTACTGCCTCAGCCTCCCGAGTAGCTGAGACTACAGGCATGCGCCACCATGCCCGGCTAGTTTTTTGTATATATATTTTTAGTTGGTCAATTAATTTATTTCTATTTTTGGTAGAGACGGGGTCTCGCTCAGGCTGGTTTTGAACTCCTGACCTCAAGCAATCCGCCCGCCTCGGCCTCCCAAAGTGCTAGGATTATAGGCGTGAGCCACCGCACCCGGCCACAGCCCCATTTCTGAGCCCCCACCCCAGCCACAGCGGCTCTCTGGGATGGTGTCCCCAACGTGGCCACCTCTCTCAGTGTCCACAATGCCTCTGCAAACACTCAGCAAGCCTGTGGCTCCAGCTCACGCCCCCACGGCCTGTCCCCATCCCTGTGTCTCCAGCTGGGGCACTGCCCTTGGCAGCGGTTCCCATGTGGCCGTGGCGGGTTCTCGCTGACCCTCAGGTCGGTCCCCTCCCCAGCTGCTCGGGGACTGCAGGGCTCAGAAGCTGGCCTGCCTTCTCAGGAGGGTGATCCTGTGCTCACTGTCCCCCGCTGTGTCCCTACAGCCTCATGGGCTGCCCAGCACAGAGGAGCAGCCACAGGAGCGGAAACCTCTCAGGGTTCCCGCCTTTGGGGAAAATAAGTCAGCTGACACCAAGTTCTGGGGGTGTTTTGGGTTGAACAGTGTCTCCCCCAAATTTATGTCCACCAGGAACCTGCGAAAATGTGGAGATAGTGTCTTTGCCTCCATAATCGAATTAAGGTTGGAGACAAATTGGGTTGGGGTGGCCCTAATTCTATCACGACTGGTGTCCTTGTAAGTAAAGAAGTCGGGATACAGGGACTCAGAGGGGACCACGTGACAACAGAGGCAGAGGTTGGAGAGATGAGGCCACCATCACAGAACACCAGGAGCCACAGACGCTGGAGAAGGCAGGAGGGACCCTGGCCCTGGAAGCTCTGGAGGGAGCTCAGCCCTCCGACTCCTGGACTTGGACTTCCCAGCTGTCAGCACCAGAGAGAATGAATTTCTGTTGTCTTAAGCCACAGTTTGTGGTCCTTAGTTAGTTACGGCAGCCCCAGGAAACCAACGCCGCAGGCTCTCCGCCCTTCCAAGCCGGCTCACACCAAGTTCAGGTGAAACTCTGAGCCTGCTCGGTTGGGGGGGCTGAGTGTCCGGAGCTCGTGGGTCCTGACAGCGACCCCCCCCCACCGCCAACGCTGAGGAAGCTGATGCCACCACCAGCAAAACTCTGGCCTCAGAGGGGCCAAGGAGGGGACAACGTCAAATCCTTGCCGGCCAGGAAACCCTCTGCCGGTGGAGAGGGTGTGGGGGTGCCTGTTCCCACGTGGCAGCCCCCTCGGAACTCCCCAGGGGAGATGCTGTTTCTCGGCTCCAGTGGAACCGGCTTTGCCCCCAGTCCGGCACCTCTGTATGGGAAGTCTGCTGGCTAGGGACAGCGGTGATGTCCTGAGACGCCGGCGGGTCCTGCTCCTTCCAGCACTCGACACAGGGTCCAGCAGGGCACGGGTTCCCACTTGGAGCAGAAAGGCTGGGCGCGGCTCACCGTGCAGGCAGTGCTGTGAGTTTGGGGCTCCCACTCTACATCATTTTGCTCGAGTTTCTGAGCAGCCTGCAGAGACCCTCACACAGCCGTGAGTCGGCGCCATCTGAACACTTCCCTCGCTGCTCCCTGGGGTGGAAGATCAGGCAGCTCAGACCCTACACACGGCTCCAGGGGGTCAGGGAAACTGACACAGTGCGCCACCCATCCGGGCTTGAGGGCGTATTCCAGAAGGACCGGCATGCCTTGTGGGCAGGGAAGTGAGAGGGCACTGCCTGGGGGTTGTGTCTGTGTTTGTCCATCTGGTAGAATTGCTAAACCCCAGAGAAAATGACCTGGAAGGTATTCGGTGGCCCCATTTTTAAATTCTCTTTCCCACCTGTGTGCTCCCTCACGGACTGTTTAGATAACTAGGCTCAAGGAGGCCCCGTCTGAGCCCGGGAGCACCCTAGCAAACCCCAGGTAGGCACGAGCCCGTGGACCTGGCCACCTGCCACTCGGCTCCGAGCCCTCAGCCACCTCTCTCTTCCCTGGGGCCTGAGAAGGGGGTGCCCTCTGTCCCGCACCCTCTGCATGTGCCACTCTGGACCCCCATGACGAGCCCCAGATGAGTGTCACCCCCATTTCTGTGTGGGCAGCTTCCCCACTGTGGTGTGAGGGAGGTCCAACGTGGACAGCTCCCTCCTCCGTCTGGCTGGCTGGTGAGGACGCTGGGCTGGGGTCTCCCCTCCTGCTCGTCCCCTCCCCCACAGCCCGGCAACCTCTGCCCAGGATGCCCGGCTGAACCTCTCAACAGGCCTCGTGCAGCCACCCACCTGCAGCGCCAGGGGCCAAGGCGCACCTGGAATCAGAACTGGCAGAGGGGTGGGAACCTGCGGCCTTGGGGCCACATGTGGCCTTCTGGATCCTTGAGCCTTTCGACTGAATCCAAATTTTACAGAACAAAGCCTTTCAATGCAGGGATTTGCTCTGTGAACTTTGGATTCGGTCAAGGGGCTGCACTTGGGGATCTGGAGGCCACATGTGGGCTTGAGGCTGCAGGTTCCCCACCCCTGCTGCAGGTGGGACAGCTGCCCCAGGGCCCCTGGGGCCACTAGACCAGCCACCATGCCCCCACCACCTCTTTCCTCAGCACAGGCTTCTCCTTACTTATCTCAGCCGGACTCTTCTGACACCTCCCCCCAGGCCTGGGCGCAGCTGAGCTGGGCCACCTGTGTGGGTCACCCTGGCTGCGGCCAGCTCAGTCCAGCACGCTTGATCTCTCAGAGCAGCCTGGCACTGACCTGTCCAGCCCTTTAGGGAGGACAGGCAGCTGGGGTCTGAGCAGCCCCTCACCTCCCAGCTCTGGAGCCGGCCGTGCCCCAGGGCCCTGCCTGGTGCAGAGGCGGCAGCAGTAGTACCCTGCGATGCAGCTGGCATGTAGTCGGCTGCTGGACCTGTCCTCTCTGAACCACCTCCCAGATGCCCTGTCCCTTGGGCAGCCCTGGAGCCTTGCCTTGGACCTCAGACCTGTGTGGTCCCCCCAACCACGCTGCTTCCTTCCAGGGGCCCAGCCTGTCCACCCCACGCCAGCCCGACCCCGTGATGGAGGTGCTGCTGCCCGGCCCCACTTACAGGTGGGCCAACCACGGCCCAGGGCATCGTCCACTTGTCAGAGGCCACGTGACAGGGATCAGCCAAGCGGGATGTGAACCCCGGCTTTCCCTGCTGCTGCCTCCTGGGGGCCTTACTGCCCTGGTGGCACCCAGTGACTCCCCACGTCGGGTCAGCAGTCAGGGAGTGAAGCAAGTGCCTGGCTCTCTGAGCACCCTGGGGGTGGCTTCTCCAGCCTGGGAGACCGCAGGGAAGGGGCTGCCCCTCACTCCCTACCATGCCCACCCAGCCCTGGTCATCTTCTGCAGACGGCCACCCAAGGCCAATAGCCAGCAACCACAACTGCTGGGGTCCACTGCCTCCGCAGCCAGTGAGTGCGGCCAGTGTCCCCCACCCTGGCCGTCCCCAGGCCTGGGTGCCTGGCCCAAGCTTGTCCTGCCAGTACCGGGAGGCCTGCCTGGCTTTGGCTATAGCCTGTGGCAGCAGCAGCAGGGGCTGCCTTCATTGTCCTCACCACCCCTTTAAAGGCTCTCACTCCTTCTGGGACGTGCCCTGGGGAAGGTCAGCTAATAGTGGCTTCTCTTCTGCACACAATGACAGCATCTGTTGGAGGGGGTGGGACAACCAGGAAAAATCCTGGAGGCAGGGTGGGCCACACAGGGGAGGGCCCAGCCTGTCACAGTCCCCAGGCCTCCAGCCCTGAGTGCCCAGGAGTGCCGGGTGCAGGGCAGGATGGCAGCTGGGGTGGATTCCTCCCAGCTGCCCTTGTCTCGGCCGCCCAGCCTTCCGGGACCAGCGGGTGAGGGGCTTGTGCGGAACTGGCTGTGACACCCTGCCGGGTGGGGTCCCACCAGGCCCCACTGTCCCCTGCACCACTGCCCTCATTTGCTGGTCAGGTTCACGGCTGCCCCACTCACCCTCCCTCTGACCTGGGCTCACACCCCGCCCCACCTCTCCGCCCCCACCCCTTCCAGTCCTCCCACTCCAGGTCACCCCTCCCCATATCCCGCCCTCTCCCGGGCACCTCCCACGCCCCTCCACCCACTCCGCCCCATGCCACGCCCCCTCCCGGGTGCCCCCCACGCCCACTCCCAGTCACCCCTCCCCATGCCACCCCCCTCCTGGTCCCCCCACGTCATGCCACTCCCAGGTGCCCCAACTCCCCGCTGCCAGAGCCCGCATCCCCTCGGGGGCCGTCCCCCCCCAGCCGCCCTGTCCCTTCTGCCCACCGCAGCCCAACAGTCGCCTCGACCTCCGGGCTGGAATTTCCTCCGGGTCCCGCGGGTTCTGCGACTTCCAAACCGGACCTGCCGGGCAGAGGCGGTTCACATTGGCCGCAACCGCGTGGAAGGTGGCGCCGCGGGAAGTCAGTGTCAACTGTCAGGTACTTGCTGTAGCCCCGGCCCGTCAAAGTCGCGTCCAGCGTGGAATCCA